ACTCGTGCAGCGACGCCTTCGAAGGTTGCTGAATTCCAACGAAGAGAAAATAGTGAGAAATTGAAACCTAGCTGTAACGCGGATGCGTATGAACGCTCTAAAAATATGCTTAATGATACGAACCAAGTCATCAACATCACACCAACGACATCTGAATCGAAAACCAGCAGTTTGATTGCAGAAGCTCTGAAAAAATTAGCGAGCACTTCTAACTCGTTGACGATTGTTAATATTTCGACAAATCAAGGTTGTAGTGTGAAGCTTTCGGAAGCTAAAACCAAATTAGAAATCAAGAGCAGACTCAGTCAGCATCCTGTGTGCAAAGTTGAAGATACTGACGACCCTATGGAGACCAAAGAATTCAATTTCGATGTTGAAAATGTTTGTAAAAGCCCGCGAATCAATGCAGGATCTTCGAGCTCTCTAGAGTCAAAAGAGTTGCTTTCTAACCTGCTAAACAGCTCCAAAATGCAGTGTATTGAAGAGGCGTCTACTACTGCAGATCTTAACCACACAGCTGCCATGATGATGATGCTTAACAACAATAATACTACGGTAACTCCAGCACCATTGTGCCCCAACAGTTCTGCAGGTGCTGGCTTTAAACGTCCTCGAGTGCCTGATCACACTGCAGCCATGACTTCTTGTTTCCCACTAACTTCACACAACTCGACTAACGGATGCTCCCCTGCCAATAGCGGCAATAACACCCCCGTCTCTCCCAACGGGCCCCTGAACAACATCTCATTACCTTCGTTACTCGCACCTTTGGGACCTCACGCTCCCTCGTTTCTACTGTCGCCTCACTCGTGGCACCAGCAGTTTCGGTGTATGAGCCCCAACATGCTAATGGCTATCGAAGCCGTACGCGCTGGCAAAATGGGCTTCACGCAAGCAGGCCGCACGTTCGGCGTTAATGGGAGGACGCTCTGGGTATACTACAGGAGATTGGGGTACAAAGTCCACAATACTTTCAGAGGTCGTAGATCAAAAGATGCGTCATCTGGTAACAATATTATAGGTGGACTTTCTCAGCCACTCTCCTCGCATCAATTAAATAATAGCAATACTATTAATCATAACAGACTACCGCCCAATTTCAATACCAATTCGTCCATATTCTTCGGAAACACCAACAATAGCAACAATAATTTTGGCACTTTTGGAAACTCGGGTACAAATCTCTTATGTCGAGGCATGTCATCCGCAGGAATCAAATTACCAGCCGATGCACAGAATGCAGCTTTTCACAATTTTCAGTCCAAATTTTTTGATAGCTCTACAGGGAGCGACAGCTGCGATAACGTCGCCGCAAGTGTCTCAAGCGACTGCACGCCCATTCACGGCCTCGGTGGGAGTTCCAATAGCTCGGCCTCGTGCTTAGTTGGAGGCGCCACTAATGCTGCTGGCTTTGGCATATCTCATGAGCCCGGCAGTGAAGATACGAATAGAGACGTACCTTCACCATCGTCTTTAATAGGTCCAATGTTTGGTTCGGGATCGTCTTTCAGCGAGTCGGACGGCGGTGTGTACGGATCAACTAGCGGCGACCTCGGTTCAAACCAACTTATGAACTGCAGTCAGCAACAAGCAAGCTTTACCCAAGCTGCTGGATTCGGTCCTGTTTTTTTCGGCAACGGAAGTAATTTCGTCGGTTTCGGTGGCGATGGCACTTCTGCCTCTGGGCAATTACTGCCAGCGTCAAACTCTCTCGTCAAGCAAGAGCTCATTGACTCTTGTGCAGCAGAAAGGCAACTTGCTGAAGGCACGCGCGAAGTAGAAGAGGCTAACTCAACGTTAGAAGCCTTGCTTGAGGCTTGCACCAACCGCTCCAACTGGCAGCATAGCGCATAGTAAAGCAACCCTTCGTTTAGTGGCTTCAACGGTATTAAATAATTTTTCTGTCATGCCAAGCTTTACGTCTAAAACGTAATTTTTGTACGGATTATTTTTGGAAAAAGAAAATATGTTGAAGCCCTTGTATCATCAGTAAGGATCAATTCTCTTAGAAAAATTATCTATAATATCTTATTCTACCTTAGGTTAAGGAGCTGTATATTGGTCAACGAGTAAGGCACAGAATGGCATTCGGCACTAACACGTTAATGTCCTTGTAAAATGATCGTCCGAATGGTTCGTGCCATTTCAATCACAATGATTGTGCTATGTTTCTAGTCACTTATATTCGTTAGTGCCCTAAACGAATATATCAACCATATTTTCATGATGCATGACCACGCAGTATTGTAGGAGATACATAGTGATTTACAGAGGTATTATTTTCATGTTTATTGAGAAGTATTAAACATCGTTGTAGTGTGCACTAATATTTAATAAGATGTTTAAACAGTTGCTTATAGCTAAGTTCACCGCAATTTAAACACAAATTAGGTATTTAATTGTCTATGCATTAACTATGCCAGTGCAAGTCTCGTCTGTAAGAAAGTCCATTTTTTTATTCTTTCTCTATTTATATCTGCCTGTTTTTAGCGTCAATTGGCGCAATTTTTTCTTAAAATTAGGCTCTATGCTTAGAAGTCAACACAGTTAATTTTTTTTTATGGAATAGTTCAGCTACATTCTTTCCTTGCCGACGATATTCTTGTTACCGAAGCAATTCAGTGAATCACTGTGACCTTTCACAAATGTTTTGAACGATGTCTCAGTCGAGTGCTAAAACTTTGAATCCTTTTTTGAAAACTTGGATGCTTCTTGTTAAGCAAGCTTTTTCAGTTCATTTATATAAGTTTTTTATTATTGTTTTTTTAGTGACTACGGCATTTATTCCATTAAGCGTTAGGGTTGCTTAAATCTGTTGCGCATTGAATAAGCTCTGGACTCTATAATTTCTCTGTAGATATGTTGTTTGCATAGTTCGAGAAATTTATGTTGAAAGTTCTCTAAATTATGATCTCTCTACATAGTTCTCTAAATTATGGCAGCTTTAAAAACTGAACTAGCTACTCTGACTTCCGTTTAATCTTGAATATACTCTAGATGCTGTTAGCGTTGGTTTAAGTTTTATGTGTGCAGGCTCCCTGTCTACGAACTTTGTATACTGACTTGTTATAAGTGTAAATGCTCTTCAGCTCTAGGAGACTTGCGCGTAGACGTTTAGTCCAGACCAGTATTGTGGCGTCCATGTACCTTAGCTTAATGTTTATGTCCGTGTTAGTGCAATATTGTGACATAAGGTGCGTTCAGTTAGGCAGCTGTGTCATTGTTGGTTCTTGTTAAATTAGTTGGCTGTGTTTGTTTTCTTTTTTCCTCACAGGAATTCTTGTCCGTCGAATGGAATAGATTCTTGCTAGTGTTACTTTCTCTTGTCTAAGAAGTAGCTTCGAATTTATATTTAAGCATCACAATTGCTATATTTCAAGCGTTCACTTTCCTTTCGTGAGCCATGTTTCTTGAACCGAAATTTTATTGTAATTTTGTAACTGCAATTATTAATTTTACGTAACGGAAGAAAGTTATTGATGATCATCCGTGAGTATAATATGCGATTTTATTGTGATTTAAATATACCTTCATGTTTTGAAAGCAACAAACTGCTGTTTGCCTCAGTATACTGTTTCTTCAATCATCTCCAGCGAAAATTGTTCGTACCTAATTATATATGAATAGGTACCCGGTTATCCATTTCAAGAATTTTGTTTTATCAAGTGGCAAGTACGGTCTTGCACTTAGGACTTTCATCGGATTCAATTCCCAGCTATTTGAATCTCGTGCGAATTGGCCGCATTTGCTTGCACTGGCTCTTCTATTATTTATCCTGCATCATTAGCACTTTCTTATCTAGTAGCATTCTGCGGGTTCTTATGTTCGAAGCACGGGAAAGGTTACGTCCGATTGTAAGAACTTGATTTTAGATTCAACTTTCTCAATCCCCTCCAAAAGGCCATCGGATTCCCGAAGATGTAGTTAAATTATTCTAATTTTATGTGACAAAAACGGTTTATGTTTGTCTCGGTTTATCAATTATTTTAATAGAGACTTGTTATATTATTCAAATTGGCAACTAAAATTTTCTTATGGAATTTTCTTGTAATTTATTTGACTTACTTGGTTCCTGTCAGAGTGTAAGAAAGTTATTCATGCACATATCCGTTCTAGCTTCAAAAATCATTTGGGTTAATATTTCCATTTTTACGATGTAGTACTGATTTTAGACTTCAATTGAAATTCCTTTGAAGTATAAGTTATCGTTATCTCAAGTTATCATATCAATACTTTCTTCATTCTTCATTTTAAGTCTTCCTTTAAGCTAGGCGTTTTGTCCTTGGGAATTTTCTGACTCGGCCATCATCATTTTTAAATAAGCTTTAATGATGCACTTAGGAAACATATTCTTATCGTAATTACAACCCTTGTACTACATCACTGCAAGTTGTGCAAGGGTGAAATTATTTACTTCGGGGAATTTATAACAGTAAAGTTAGAGTTCTTCTTAACCCGTTCCATCGAAGTATTCTGGGTTCGTTCTCACTTTTTTCAGATACGAAGTACGAGACACGCTCCCGATTACGTGTCAACTTGTCAGAATTTTTGTGGCTTTGTTCCTTTATGTGACAGAAGAAAAAAACTTACTGAATTTGGTGCTCAGAAAAAATGTTTCTGAAATAATATTTTTATTTATTGTAATGATTTTAGATAGGAATTTAGACTAGAAAACTAGTGACACAAATATGTTGTGTTGTGCAGACTAACGGTATTTTAATTTTAGGGACATTGCACAAAACGTGCATCTGTTCTATACTTTGGTTGTGCGACGTATCTCTATCGTAATGAAGTTACAATAAACAATAAAATAAAATGCAGCTGCGCTTCATTTGCCCTTGTTACGATTATTGTAACGTAAGGTGTACTCATAGATAAAATCTTGGGTGCATTTCACAACTATTGCTTTCCAATTCGCTTTCTGCAAACTTGCAGATTTTTTACTGCGATTGAACAAACTTGCTGCTTTTTTTTGAAACTATGAACTCTAAATACAACAGGACGCAACCGCCGTGCTGTTCTTCAGCGCCAACCTGGCATTATCAGGGATGGTAGTTCCAGTCTCGGCTCCGTGGGCAAGCGTGTTAGCAAAGAAGAAGCGGCCGACGACGACTCTGCATCGGAATACAGTGCCCAAGGCAACTTATCGGTCTCTGCCATCTCCAGCTCATACGATTCCAGTGTGAGTGTGGAGACCGTAGTCTCATCAGTATCTGCCTTTACCGATGCTGAAATTCCAATCCACGGCACCAGCTCTTCACTGCTACAGGTTTGCTCCTAATGTGTCCTCACTGTTTTCAACTCTAAATTTTGTATAAAATGGGGATAGCTAATGCAATGCAATGGGGATAGCAAAATGGGGATAGCAAATTCGTTTTCTCTTGCATTTTCTCTGGTGTAACACTCAACGAAACTTTCTAGTTTTGCATTCTCGAGCTCCCGAATTTATCATGAGTGCCCCGCCAAAGAACTCCTGGAATTTAAACTGCTGGGCTCAGTTGCGGTTGGGGGTTTGTTATGCAGGTTGGTTCTCTTGCCCTTCTCTCTTTCTATCGTGTGCGGACGGCCAACGTATCGTGCATAGAACTTCTTGTACGAGTATTTTTTTTTTCTGTTATTGTTATCTAACTATCAGAAATGCTATTGCGCCATCTTTCTTACCTGCCTCAGCGCACTGGCCTTTTGAGACCTTCCGCCACTTTTCCGGTGGATATTTTTGTCAACATTTTATGTGAGATTGATTGAAAGATGCAGAGCTAATTAGCTGGGTGTCGCTACGTCATCCTCTTGCAACATCTATTGGATTATTGTACTCTCTTGCTTCATTATATTGTTTATTCGTAAACGTTTTGACTCTCGCAATTCTGCTAGAACTTTACTAATACATAATATAAATCACTTAGTCCTTGTAACTTTTAATTTAACTCACTTTTCTTAATATTTCATTCCTGTTGTTGGACTGGGCTTAGTGTTCAGAGAGCACCGTTAATTTCCATACACATTTTTGTTATCTAATCTCAGGTACCGGCAATGGTACTGTCATCCCCAAGAGAGACTGGGCCGCTCCCCAAACAAGTATCCCAGCCTGAATTTAGCGAGTCTCGGTCTGTGGTGCATCAGTACGGACAGCATCCTATGATGAGCCGTTCTGTCGGCTCCATCGGATCACCTGGCTCTTCAACTGGATACATTCACAATCCTACTACTTCGAGTAGCCAGCATCTACAAGTGATGCAAGTTTTCCTCAAACAACCACAACAACAGCAACAAAGTCGTGGGTCTACTCTAGGTAGCGAGCTGTCTCTTGGCACGGGCCCCGTTAATCTTCGGCCCATTCAGCCCAAGCCTGCTCTAGAAGGAGTTCTGCAAGGTCGTTCGGGTGTGTAGCTTTTTTTAGACGAGAGTCTCATGTTGTTTATAGTTAATTTCACTGTACGTTCGCTTTGTTTGCAAGGAAATATCCGGAAAATAATCAAGTCCCACCCTGGTCTGTCGTTTGAAAATTAACTTAAAACAAATATTTATACTTCAACTTTGAGCTTTCCTCATCTTCAATCAGGAAAGATCTATATTATTTCCGTTTCCCATCATTCCATGAAGAACCGAAGTTGTCAATTAAAATTTATATTTTTTGGCATGCACTCTTATAATACCCTACTGTTTGTTCCAGTTAAAGAAGAAATTAGTGGTTTATATCAGAGGAAAGAAACTACCTACCAGACTCCACTCATCCGCCTCACGCCTTCAGACGACGTTTCTTCTCTCTCAGGTGACATCATTAAATTGTTTGTAAAACAACGAATTTATTATATTTTTTATAGTTGTGGCAGAACAATGTCTCAAGTTTCTCTCCTAAGTAATATTGTAAAAACACTTAATAGTTCTGTCTTGTCTGTGGTCAGTTTCAGGACCTCCCTCACGTTTGCCCCGAGCTGTGAGTGAGGAGCCTCTGGCGTCGCGACAGCTTCATACCTCGATGGACCTTCTGGGACCCGGTCCGCTCATCCAAAGCGTGTCGGAGGTCAGGTTCCTGTATTATGACCGTTAATTTGCATTAGTTTCAGCTTTATTTTTTGCTGATTCCCGTCAATGTTGTTTCTATTTTAAAAAAATAAATCTTGGGTCCATCATCTATCATCGTTAGTCTTCCCTCAAACTTCAAAATTGTAAATCGACGCTCAATTTGACAAATTCTTGCCTATGCAGGACGCTGGCATGGACAGCGGCTCTCGCATGGTGCCCCAGACAACTAGTTCATCTTCCTCGTCTCCAGCTTCCTCATCATTCGGTGTGTCGTCGCACATGAGCAGCTACTCACCGCTATCTTCCCTGCCCCCGGCTAGTGGCCATCGTCTCGCTTTGCGCGATGGCCCGGCGCTAGGCTGCAACTTTTGCTGGAACTCCACTGACGATCACGGCCGCATTCAACGGAGAAAAACTAAATACCACTGTCCAGAATGCCGAACCAATCTCTGTATTGTGCCATGCTATCAAAAGTATCACAAGCAAATGGAACGAGCCGACGACACCGACAAGCAAATCACTAAAATGCTCACCAAATCTTCTCTCTGAGGTGTTGAAACTAGTTGATGCTTAGGATTATTTTACCAAGCAGTGTGGAGAAATTAAAGGTAACGTCAATGTTTGGTGTTGTATATAATATAATTAGAATTATATTGCGTTTTTACGTATCAATGCGGTTGAATTAACGCTGATGCTCGTTTCGTTTAGTACATTTAGCTCATTTTATTCCATGTAGGAGCTCAGTCTTTTTGATCTGCTGTACAAGTTATCTCTGTTGCCCCAGCTTTCTCTCTTCAATGAGGTGTTTTGATGCACCGATTTTTCAGATTTGTTTGCTGAGCTTCAGATTTTTTCTTAATTCCCTCTTCGACTATCTGGACCTCCAGACTGTTTGTATACCGAAAACTTGAAACTCACTTTGGACGCTACAAACAAAAATCAATCATTGATTGAATGATGTTCCCTGATGAGAGAATAATAGCAATATAGTATTTGTCACAAAACACTCATTCTTAATAATGGTGATTGATCACTGATACTTTCCGAGATGCAGAATGAGCTAAACGAAAGTTGTGAGTTGGGATGATAGATCGTCGCGACGAAAGCAACGCGCATGAATTTTTATTTGTATGTTACAGTTTTACGGTGATTCCAATCAATTGAGTTTGGATTTTACATTTAGTAGCAATTTTTTAGAACAATGTAATAATTAGCTGAGCGAAGTCCTACAGAATTTTCGCAATGGTATCATTTCATGTTCCAATATTGCCATTTCTGTTTTATTCCTATGGTTACAAATCATATTAATTTTTTCTAATATGGCCCATTCTAATGCCTCTTCATCAGATTCTTCTATTGATTTTGCGGACCAATTTTACCAGCGTTTTTTTAACGAAGTTACTAGATGCTCATTGCAGATAAGTTTTTCTGGTTTTAACTTTAAGCATTATTTTAAGCCTCATTGTGCCAGTGGTGTTCAAGAAGATTGTCACGCTGATCTCTTATGATTGTATCACTTTTATGATTTAGCCCACTGCTTCACAACCATAGAAATTTCAATTTCATTTTTGCGTTGTATGTTCACGTTTATTCAACTTACACACCTTTTCAAGAACTACGAGATTGGAAAACCATTGTGATTTGTTCTTCGCTTTTTAAGAAGATTAGGTCTCCGTTTTTATAAGTTTCTGAATTTTATAGTTGCTGTTCGTTGGTTCTACACATTATTTTGTGCGCTACTCGTTGGCAAGAAGCTGGTTTCTACATTCGGGATTCTTCTATATTTATTTACCTCATGATATTTGATCCCTTCATTTTTTACTTTGGCCATGATTTGTTAACTATTGTAACATTAAATTATCCGCGATTGGTGTGCGAATTGATACAAGAGAGGAATAAGACTTTTCATTGGGGGAAAGTAGTTAGAGTTTGAATGTGTTCGAAATATTTTCATTTGTACATGCGGAAGATGGTATTAAGTTGGTTATGAACGTTAGAGTTGTGATACGATTGAATTGCTGTCATTGAAAAGGCTGCTTTATTTTCAATATTTTTTTTTTCATTAAGCATTTTCTTTAGGGCAAGGCCAATTTTTATTATTTGTTTCATCTAGCCTGTGTGATATGCTGTGGAGGCCTTCAGGTGTAGGTGGACTTTCAATTCTTACAGAAGTCGACTGCAGCATGTACTGGCGGAAGTTAATATTGAAAAACCCATTTATCATCAAAAGTTAATGTGACAAATAATTCAATTTACTGAGCAAGTTGTTTGCTAAATTTTCTTTGCTTTTGAATATTAAAATCTTATAGGAATTGTTCCACACTTCATCTGTTGAATAGAATGTCTAGGCAAATGCTAAATTTAATAGGTATTGGTTTCGTGTCTCAAGATACTCAGCTCTAATAAACATCTACTACCACAATTGCTACTTATCAAACGAATTATGCACACAAATCTCGTTTCCTGTCGATGATTCTAAACTAAATCCGTCCTGGTTACGTTGAGGTCATTTTGCAGGTCCTGAGTCCGTTGTGTATTTTTGTTCGACTATTTGTGAATCTTTTCAAAATTCCTATGAATTTTGTTTGAATAACCACTATTGTGCTTCTTTTTACTCGTCGAAGAAACAGCAATCCCTGAAACATCCCAATTTTCGGTTGTTCTGTTCTTTCATTTGAAAAATTAGGCATTGAATTTTTACAATTCAAGGCAACCGTCTGTAGTTTGTAGTGTGTAGACTGGCTCATATTATTCAAAATGTATTAGAATCCAACACATGCTCTTTGATAGAGAATTAGCGCAGCAAAGTAGATGGAAAAAGAACCTAGCTTTCATTAGGCCACTGGCATTTTAGATTACCGTGCTCTCTTCGTCCTCAACCAACTTGCCGTCCTACATTTCCATGACAACTACAGCGTTTCCCTGAGACATTGTAATTTGTAATCTTGTGTACGCCGCTTTACCCCTCACAATTCATGGAAAGCGCCGTTCCTTCTGTAGATCAATGGGAATGAGTTACCCATAATTTTGGTGAGATGTCATAGACTTACAAAATTAGAGGGCAATTGTTGATCCTCGGATTTTGAATCGATACAACTGAAAGCACGCCATTTCAATAGCCAGCATTTCTTTTCTGCTAGCAATTTGGAATGTTATGGCACGAGCATTTTTTCTAACTGGTGATGATGGGTTATAACGAATGAAGCTGGTTCTTCTCAAAAACGTAGAAATAAATTAGTTGACAATCATCGAAGTACTTGCTAATCGGTATTTATTACTCTAGAAGACGTATATGCATTTAATGTTATAAACTAACGTTAGAAATGTGCGTTACAGTTACACCAAAAACGCCTTATCTCAAAAGTCCTATTCAGCATTAAATAGTTTTTCCTAAATTCGGATTCTGGTTTTATCTCTTCTCTGAGCGAGATTTGAGAATACGCAAGAAAACTTTGTGAAGACAAAAGTTCAGTGAGAAGTAAATTTCGGGACAACTTTTATTATTGAATCTTAGGCAATATATTAGAAAAAAAAACTCTCAGCGGAGATTTGGGAGAGCCCGGTAACAACCAGTCCCCTCATTAATAGCTTACAATATATTACAGTATATTAACGGTTCCCTTCAAGACATTTGTTGTAGCATCAAGTATTTGGGCTATATGCGATAGTGGAAGTAATACGCATATGCTGACGCACTATTATGATTACTTTCATACCAGTCTCGCGAGTACTTAATTCCTATGCTTCAAAAACTTGCAACCGCAACTGTTGAACGAGACTAACAAGTATTTGGTGTATTGTGTTCTTATCTGTCCGTTGCATCTGCAAATTGTGAACATAATAAACAAACCTCTAATAATTTGAAGTTATTTCTCGCCGGCAAATTCAACAAGAATGTATGTAGCGACAAACAATTTTATATCAATTAGTTATTCTGCAATTAAATCATGACGACGGGAGGTGAAGAATATGAAATGATGGCAAGAGCGGTTAGAGGCAGCGGAAAGAGGAGTCGATCCCGTTGTTCGGACTAATTGGATAGTTAGCTTTAATTAGCCGTAATTCATGATGCATGTAGTACACATATTGAAAGAACAAGTTCCACGGTTATCGTTTAAAATAATAGTTTTAATGAATTCCGTGTGGCTTATTTTTGGAAATATAATTAGCTAGCAGTGGATAGTACTCCCATTACTGCAAACCTGGTTGTGAAAGTTGCTGGACAAGTAACAGAATTCCCCGACGTACAATAATACAATACATGGTTAAAAATTCAAACCTACGTCGCAGGAGAATGTGTTAATGGGTGAACTTACCGCACACGCAAAAAACCAAGTTCCACTTTGGCATAGTACAGGAAACGCTTCAAATAATAGCTAGCTTAACAGTACGTGAGCTAATATGAACACAAGTGACACATTATTAACAAATACTAACGTACACGAGTATAGCTGCACCTTCGAAATGATTTTCAGGCAATTGGAGCTGATTAATTCAACAGATTTGAAACGGATAGAATTTAACAGAACACTTAGGAAATGTAAGGTGAACAGTACCTGAAGTAACTTAATTTGCTAAGGTTTTGTTTGCAAAAACATGCAAGCATACATGTATAAAATACTATCACGGCGTCATCTTTGAATGTAAACTTGGCTGTTATAAAAATTTAATTATGATCTTAATGCAAGTAAGAAGAATTCAAGAAAAAATTAAACTTAATACGTACCCATAGCCAAAAATGAATCCAAATACACGGGATTTCGTGTCAGATGCAGCATGAGGTAAAAATGCTTCCAGGAATTGTTCAGAACGCAATAAGCTAAACACGACAGCTGCAACAATCGAGTGAACGAGCAGTCATTCTTCCGTAGCAGCCATGAGTATTGGTTAATTACAAAATATTTTTACACATATATACTATTTACACTTACATCAATATTAAAATGTACACGAGAGTTCATACATGAATCTGACGCATCGTTCACGTACTCATTTGTCACAGAAGAAAAAATAAGACTCCAAACTCGCCACACGCGCTGCAGTACCGTTAATACTGTCTACGAATTCAACCATTGATAATTAATAGATAATTGATAATCCCTGAAATTTATGATGTACTTAACGCAAATTGTGGTTAATATAGTGCGGCAGTCATGGTAGCACATCGACATTTTGAAGATAGCAGCCAAGCACAGCAGGAAGATCTCATGTCGTTGGTCGTGGTTACATTTCCTCCTGAAAAGGGATGAAACCATTTCAAATAACTGAAGCATGATGATCAAATTACACATATTGAATATGAATAATCTTTTGCATTAGAACACGAGAGAAAAAGCCCCTTAACTTTGCCTTGCAAAGAAAACTTGGGAGCCCAGATTCTCCTCACCTTGACGGTTCTACCTCCGGGGAAAATACCAGTTCAAAAATTGATACTCATTGAAAAGGTATCTGCTAGAAGGTTATGTATATTTGACAACGTGAAATCGGATCTGTATTACAATTTCTTCCAATATCATATTCAACTAACAAATTACTGCGCAGTTTGTCGATTTATAATGTTGGCTAATTTCGAAGTCGAATAATTTATTCGACTAAAAAAATAATTTTTATAAGGGGGCCAAGCCCGAAGCTCCATTATCTCCCATCTACTTACATTTTGCGTTGTTATCAATGTACGGCAAACTATTAAAGACCAAACCAGAATAGCAAGATACATTTCTGCTAGTAAATTTACTGTTTTCTAAATTTCTGAATTGAATCTCATTTGCAAAAATTCGCAAACGTTTTTATGCTAATGAAAATCCACGAGACACGCATGTCTAGAAATGGAATGTGTTTGTATGAAAAAAAAAAAGGCAGCGCTTCCCAGTCTAGGCTCTGATGGAATATTTTACCCGCAATCTTCAACCCGGCATGCTGACCACAATGGTTTGAGCACCTAAATGATTCAAGCTTTGTGAGACAAGACTTAGAAGCGCTCCTTAAGAGTGACAGGCAAACAATGGTAGCAAATACAGGGCACTTACTGGCAATGCGATGCGCTCGAGGAGAGGGGGTGTGTGTGTGTATGTGCGGGGGGGGGGGGAAGGTTATTCTTTCGGAAAAAAGGCAAGGATCAGGATTATTTCAAGGATAGTGTAGGATACTAGGTATCCCGAGGATATCTGATCAGGACGCAGAGTGATGCGGGTAGGATTACAGGAGAAGTGGGCAAGTACACGTCACGAGGGATAGTATGGAAGAGTTAATGAAGGTAAGAAAAGCCAGAATGCATTCACTATGAAAGCGAGCAGCAAAGGAACAAGAGGGGACGAATGAATCATTTGAGTAGAATCTGACTGAAAATATAAAATCTACCACATGTTAAATGAAGTTGAATCGAGGACACAATGAGATAGCAACTCATTTAAAACCAACTAAAACATAAAAGATGAGTCAAAAGTAAACCAAGAACAATCCACTATGAACACGATCATTGCTAAAAAACAATCAGTACATAGGTACTTCTAGCATGGATTTGAGACACATTTCCGAAGGAAAGAAGAACCACAGGCACCTTTGATAATATTCTCGTTGGAAATCATGGTGAGATGTACGGTATTTCCAATCAATGAACACACCAAATTTAGATACAGGGAAAGATTAGCATTTATATTCCAATGCTACTTTGATACATGACGAACAGAGTCTAGGCGCGGAGATTCGAAGCCAGGAAGAATAAGATCAGCACCAGCACGACTAATTGCATCTTCACATTATAATTTAATACCGACGCAAATGACAATAACATATGGCTACCAAATAAAATAACAGCGTTACGAGAAAGAATTTATTATATTTTAGAACTCCAATATTACTGCCACTTCTAACGCTGTTGAAGAACTGAAAAAAGACTCCATCAGCAAATACGTGAGCAGACTCAATGAGCCAGCATGATTCGAAGTTTCCAGCACCGAGCCAAGCATTATTTCAAGATCAAGGCATAAGCAAGAAAAGATGACTCATGACCATGATACGATGGCAAGAAAAAATCATGATATGAATGAGGCCGGGTAAGGATTGAGGTTCCAGGATTGGGCGAGGGAATCACACGCACCCTCTCCCGGCACGTCGTGAGCTAACACAGCAAGTTCTTCTCTTCTCTACAAGTAACAGTTAACGAACACACCAATCGAAGCTTAAGCAACTTCAAATCAAAACAAAATCTAAGTCAAAGCCACTAAAATTACTGGAAATTCCTGACAACTTTTCCGCTGCACACGCAGTTACTGTATGAGAATAAGAGAACAAATATTCATCAAAGCAGGAAATACAAAGAAGCCGCTAAAGACACATAAATGCACCAAAGAAAGAATGTTGAAAGTAATAACAGAAATCAACCAAAAGACGGGTACGACATCGTTATAGTTCTCGATTGTCAACATCACAGAGGAACACACTAACGGATGCAAAAAATGAAACGCTCTAAAGCCGAAGTCTAAAATGCCATAACAACTGCAAATAAAAACTTATCCATCAGCCAGATACGAACGAATTATCCAAAAACTAGCTGGAAGTAAGAGTGAAAGTAAGCGCAGAAAATAACTCCGATGTTTTAAATGCAATGCAGAATAAAACACGGATAATAATTTACCTTGGGCTGACACATAAATTATCAATCTAAATCAAACCGATACCAAGAAATATAAAGTACGGCAGATAAAATGCTCAACGGAAGCGTTTTTATTAAGGACGAATGAAAGTGAACACCACACCTCGAAGTTACTCCATAGCAGTTCATCAGGAGCTCATCACATGCAACAAGATAACGTCAAACAAAAGAAAAAACTACAAAAAGGGTCACAGCGGTCAGTGAAGATATAAAAAAGAAAACCAGGTTCAACGCCAAAAAAGCTTAAATTCAAGGAAAGTTCTAAGAATGGATAGTTGCAATTGAAGAACTTCAATTCTTTTTTTATGACAGGCTATAAAATACGGGCTCCATTTCAAATGAAATGAACATATGAATGAAAATTTAAGTTTTGATTAGATTGACTGATGCATGAATTGCTATCAAGATAATTTAGCTGATGAAGACGGCAAAGCACACCAACTGGTTAGGGCATGACTGATAAGTCTGGGCAACATTGTAACATGAGTCTACGATATATGAGCTAAAAATTAGAATATGAAAAACACAAGACGAAGAATATGTGAAAGAAATTAATGTGCCTCTGATATAAATCATTAAAAAAAATTCTATCGGATGAACTTGGAAGAGACAAGAGAAGTATAATTGCAGCTGAAAATATAATTGAGGAAATGATAACCTGAAATAAATATAATAAGGCAGTGAGGAGCATGAGCGAGTGAAATTTTATGATAAAAAAAAGATAATAGTTATAGAGGATCAAAAGCTGCTCAAAAAGATGTAAAGGGTCAAAAGGGAAGAGGAGAAGGTCTCTAGTCGTGAGGGACATCCCTATAAGGTATCTCAGAAGACACCTGATAGTCGTCAAAGTAATGGTGGAGGTAGTCAAAGGTAGGCCGATGGTCCGGGTCCTTGTCCCAGCAGCTGAGCATCATCTTGTAGAGCTCGTCGGGACAGCGAGGAGGCTTTGGCATCCTATAGCCGTTTTGTACACGGTCGATTACCTCGCGGTTGTTCATACCTAGAATAATTCAAGTGAAAAATAAAGTACAGGTTTGAAAATCCTGAGAACAAACTGTAAACAAGGGAATATGTATGAACTTATACCAAGTCTTTTCTCTTGATGAATTTAACATTTATTCTCCGTAAGGGAAAGTGTATTTTGGTTCACGTATATAACTAGTAACAAGTATCACCTACAATAATAAGACGACAAATGGGATAGTTGACTCTCTTTTCACTTATAAAGCTAGTAGCCATGTCTGGTACCTACAAGCAAGGTTGACATGAATGAATAATTCAATTTAACACAACTTTAACGTTACAAATCAGATTTCGAGCTTCACGCTCGTTTGAGAAGTAATGAGTGATGCAAAAATATCTTAAATCATGCCTAAAAAATTTCGAAATTCATGTCGAAATTGTTCACTCAAGGTGTTTTGACTACGTAAAATATAGATTTCCGACATCTAATTTAAAGGATAATAATATATTATGCATAGATTTAGGACGAATTAGTTGAAAAAAAACCTTACCAGGATAAGTGTTTGCTCCGTAAGTAATGATTTCCATTAGCAGAACACCAAAGCTCCAGACGTCACTCTTGATGGTGAACCGATTGAAGAGCATAGCTTCTGGGGCTGTCCACTTCACAGGGAACTTACTATCTGCTTGAATATACTCTTATTAGGCTCTAGCACTCAAACATTCCTAAGTAGCTATGGAAGATTCAATGCTCCCATCTCAAAAAGATAACTATTTTATATAATCTTCGGACACGCAATATTATGCTGTGATCTGATTAAGTCTGAGACACATTGTTGACTGGAGTATAATAACGAATGAAATTAATTGAAATGATCACAGACACAGAGATAACAGACTTACTTGTACTTGGGCAGTAATCTTCGCCATCAATGATCCTGGCGAGGCCAAAGTCAGCGACCTTGCAGAGCAAAGATTCACCAACCAGGACGTTGCGGGCGGCCAGGTCGCGATGGATGAGCTGCTTGCTCTCCAAGTATGCCATGCCTGACGCCACCTTTATCATAATACGACACTTTTTGTAACAAATAAGAAAAGGAAAAAGTCATTACATTGAAGATAAATTACCTATTAATGCAATTAATGCAACTGAAAAACTTTCGATTCCTAACAAGGCCACAAATAGAGATGATTGAGTAGCATAAGGCCATAAGCAGTGGGCACATACTGCATCAAGCTTTTTATAACATAAGAAGTTCATGCACAGGTCGGTTGTTTGCATGAAAGATAAGTTAAATAATCATACACCGTATTGACCTAGGAAACTTTCTCAAACCCGATTTTAAACACATATTTGTTACGCAGGTCTTGCAACATTGCTCACGTTCTGTCAATAGCAATCTGAAGTCTCTCAACAGAATGAAGAAAATGCTAGTAATAGATCAATTTTTCCGACTTGAGAGAAATATGAATAAGGCATGGTCTGGAGTAGATTCAAGTAATTGATAATTCGCGACAAAAGAACAGAATGACTGAGCAAGAGACATAACACAGTGCGCTGGCCAACCTGAGAGGCGATGTAGATCATATCGTTGAGTTTAAGAGTCTTTCCCTCATCACTCCTGAGTAGCTCTAAGAGGGCACCCTTCTTCATATATTCGGTAACTATAAGAACAGGTTCTTCTTTCGAGCAAACGGCGTATAGAACAAGAATATTTCTGTGCCGCAAGCCTTTCATGATAGCTGCTTCTTCAAGGAACGCCGAAGACCTCATATTGCCTTCTTTGAGGGTCTTGATGGCCACTTCTATCCTGTTGTTCCAGGTACCTGATCAAAGAGATAACCAACACATTATGTCAATCTTACAGAACCTGTTAGGTAAATAAGAGCAGAAACCATAGAAAATGCGAGAATAAGTATCCTGTCTTTCATTCCTCTGATATGGCCATCATATAATTTTTACTGAAAATAATTTAGGATTGTTCCTAAAAATTTTCTGTTTCCTTCGAACTCCAGCAGGTATTTACTGTCCCCTCTTTTGGGGAGAAAAAAAAATAGAAAAATTCCTGATGGCAAACACGAAAAGGGACACCCCCCTTAGTAGCGTTTCAAGTAAAAACAATTCAACAGAGGAAGGATTGTTTAATCAGTGAGTTAGATTGCTAATTTAGAGGCCACATGTTTACTAGCGCTTTAGCTATTTAGCTATCTCGTACCGGAAGTCAAGATGAACTTCACCAATGAGGTGGAAGGTCTCAGTTATCTAAAGTTTCTCGAATCAAAAATATGTTCATCACCCACAAGGGGCGGAAGGTCTCAGATGTCCAGCCCGTTTAAGCTGGCTCGAAAGAAGCAGCGTTAGCATCTCAAAGATAAGGACGGGGGACGTCGGCCGCCCACACGATAGAGACAGAGAATGAAATGTAAGGTATCCTACCTACATAATAACTTAATGTAAGGTATCCTACCTACATAATAACTTAACCCCACAACTGAGACCCGTAGTCAGACACCGCGAGCCCAGCGGTGGGGCGCTCAGGAGTTTAATCAGAGAACAATAAAAAAATGGCTATGAATCTAAAATAAGAATGAAGGCGCTTCTAACAAATAGTTTCTCAGTACAACGTTCACATGACAAAATAGATATGGCATCATCACAGTACATGGAAAACATGATAAAGTTTGAACTCACCATACCAAACTTCACCAAACGTTCCTTGGCCAAGTTTTTTGAGGAATGTTAGCGAGTTGCGTTCGATCTCCCACTGATCTTTGGTCTCTCTGCTCAGGTCCCACTGCTGAGGTCGTGGTCGGGCGCACGGGTGCTGCAGTAAACACGCCAGGCCGTAGTTGTTGCCTGACCAAACAACACCAATTAATTTCATCAATAAACTTGACAGCGTCTTGTATTGGGAAAATAAAGAGTTATCTTAGCAATAGCGAAGAGTGCTATCTATTTTCTATGGACATTATTCCGTTTTTAATATCATGGCGGTCCAAATACAGGATGTGCTAACAACAAAATAGCTTTCATAGAAATTTTAGCTAACGGATCAAAAAGGTTCTAACAAACTATTGTATAATACGAAAACATCAGACACGGGCAATCGTATGAATTCAGTGAACATACTCAAATGTTAATACATCAACGTAAATAAAAGATGAACTAATGTTCAGCTCTCAAAAGTTAATAAAATAATCGCGGTGGTACGGATACTCATTTTGCAGATTTAGCCTGTCCAGGAATTCAAAAGCAACTGGAAAACAATTCCATTCAAGAATTTGTTCAAGTCAAATATCGTAAATAGTCATAGATATATAATGGACGTAGTTTTACTCCAATATCAAAACGGATCTCGGGGATGCCTCTAAATAGAAAAGAAAACAATGAGCTATCGACATCACTACAAACTGACGGCTGTAAGCATCGACTAGTTCGTTGAGAGATCTGAATGTTTGAGCGGAGGTGATGAAGAAGCCGCCGCCATCGGTCTGCTTGATACGGTAGTGCTTCACGTGCTCGCCTTTCTGCTGATCCCAATCCTGAGTAACAAGATAACAGTTAATGCGATCAACGTAACATGCGTATTAGAGCGACTTCATATTGAAACTTTTATTGGTGAAATAAACTACAGCGGCCAAGCCCATGCTTTTAAAACCATAGAATAAGGGTTTTCCGGGATTTTAAAGTCAAACCCATGGTTTTAAAACAATAGAATAAGGGGTTTAGTACAATCGACATAATATTCGTAAATACATAGTCGCGTGCTAAATAGGTAATACTAAAAATTTAATTGTATTCTGTATACTGATTTTCTATTAATTTTCAAGCTGTTACAGTCCAACAGTCCTCTCTCCATGGAGCCACACTAAAGTAGCTGTAGGAAATGCCTGTAAGATATGAGCGGTTAACTTACCCTAATGCTCAAGGAGTAACCGTGGCTGGCTTGCTCGCTCAGTCTAATGAGGAAAGTTCCCCTCTGATTGCAAGAATCCATCAATAATTTCTCAGCTTCTTTACGCGCTATCCGGCCGAAGTACCAGCTGCAAATATTTCATAAATTAAGAAGAGAATTTGAACGAAAGTTACACGTGTATTGCATTCTCCTAATATATGATAAGGCAAATCTATTCATTTGTTTTAATCGCAGCCCTAGTTCATAACCGAGCTATTCATCACTAAAACTCTTCAGGCACAGGAGTATGTCAGTAAAGCATAGGAATAGCTATCGACTGCAACAATCGACGAAAATGCAGGTCTATTCACAAATTACTACACATGGCTGCGTTTGTGCATGGGAAATACAAGCATTACTCACTCTTGGCACTCAAGGGAAGTTGCTAGAGCCACGTGGTTCTTAGGAATGTAGCCCTCAGCGTTGTTTGTGAGGTTGCGAGCCAACCACCAATCGTTGTCACTGGACAGGAGGGAATTATGCTATGTCATTACACTCGCAAAAAAACACGTTGCATGAAAATAGTTTGCAAGCATAATTTTGAACAATCCTTCATTTGAAGGTATTTTTCTAAGGCCTGTATTTATTTGCAATAATTGGATCACTTCAAAACGCATTGGCATTTGTGGAGAAGACTAAGTAATAAATGCTTTTAAATTTTTTTTTCTACAGTGAATAAGCATGTGAGTAAAATGAAAAATAAAAGATCGCTAAAAGATGAAAAATAAACGATTGATGGATGAATGAGACAAAGGAAAATGACTTACGTTTCACTGAGAACCTCGAGACGATCGCCCTTGATAAAGCTGAGCTCCCCGGCGCTCCTGCCCTGGAATGTGTACATGGCAACCACCAACTGCGGCACGCCGCCCCCCGGTGCTGCTCCGCCCCCGACACGGTATTGAGTCCCGCCCCCTAGCAGGCAGCCGTCACCTGCAAATACAACACTTGTTATATCAATGACATGCAGATATTCTCAAGCTCTTAATTAGTACTCAGGGCCATGCAGAAACATTCACGAACAATTAAATTTTTCACACAACAGCGTAAAAAGTTTTTGATAACTGCTTCGTCAATTCAAGACGATGTACAAAGATATCGGAATAAAATCCCTTTTCCACCCAGGAAACTGTTTTGGTGACACGGTGGATTTTGAATTATCCAGGAGTGTTCCGAACTAAGAGCTGGATGCCGCATTTGCGGCATGGAAGCAAATCTCACGTAACTGTTATGAAGAATTATACTCTGAAAAGATATGCACGCAGGTGAAGCTTCGCTCATCGCATCCATCAACACACGAATTGAAAGCCAGAATAAACAAGAGATCTTAATAATGCCAGAATTTGTGGTTCGTGCAACACTATAGTGGTTACGGAGTACATTAATCAAGTTAAAATAATATTACACTAAATCTCAGTGCACCTCAACACAACCCATCTCTATGTTATTTCAAATAAATTAAGCTGCACTCTGCAAGCTTCGTTCAACAGTGCGTTCAATAACTAAGTTATTCTATGCTTAAACTCGTTGGTTCCATAAGCTGCAGTGCTCTTTCAATCTTCATATTGGGAACGCAGAAAGATGAATAGTTTTAGCTTTAAATTGTTTTGGAGGCGCTCATATGCCGGAACTTTTCTTATACCACTGCATTTATGTTTTTATCTTCGATGCGAATTTAGTTTTCTAATTGATTCTTATTTTCTTATAGGTTTTGAACTTTTGAACTGACGATGGAGCGGGACTCCGAAACGTTTTCATTCTTAAGAAATGGTTAATATTCTGGCTGTTTTCTTTGCTTTTAAATTCCTGGTAAACTTGCGACTTAAGCAATCTAGTAATTTTTGTGCTTATACCACAATTTATTGAAGTAAGAAGATATTAGAAGCAAAAACGTATGAACGGATAGATCATGATGTATTAATGCTGAGAGTTTAATGCATTAGTAAAAACAACCAACGAGAGCACAACATTGAAGCAGTGTTAGCTAAAGCTTGGGGCTGGTAAATGTTTAGCCGGGTTCACTTTTGTGCGGTACTTGCGGGTAAGAGGCAGCATGATGAAGTCATAGCATAGCGCAAGTTCAAATGCGATACAAAAATTACGAGCAGGCAATGACATTCTCTAGATTGTATAGCATACTATGCTAGGTTGCATAGCACCCCGTGCTAGGCTATATGCAATGCATAGAATACTGTGCTGCGTTTAGTAAATTTTTAGATGGATTGTCGCTTCACAACTTTGTCAAGGTGCCATCAGTTTTACATTTTTTTAAAGTAAGTTTGCACTCAGAAAAGTTAGTGGAGACACAGCAGCTCACACCTGCACTGCTGCAGTTGTTTGCAGGTCCCCAGCGTTGCGAGCTCCGAGCTGATCATCAACATCGAAATTACTCAAAAAAGATAATTTTCAACAGGGTCTGAATGTACAAAGAAACTAATCATTTCTGTTCAGAGTAAATATTATAAATGAACTATTTACAGACATATTGTAGCTTTCATGTTTTATACCAACTAGCCACATGAACAACAATATGTCAATCTGTACTCGGAATCGCGGCATGTAATGCATGACTCTCACTTGCACCGTGATCTAAATACAAGATCAAATCGTACCTCAGAGATGATAATGTGATATACTAAACTTAACTTGTTTTTCAATTTAACTTGGCATTACCTACGATTCTCTGCGACCTGATGTTAATTAAATGGCATATCTAATTAAAAAATTTTGAACGAAACAACCGAGTATAGTACCTGAGATGGCGTTGGAACTAGATAGTCGAATTGATTTGCGGGAGAATTTGAGGCTTCCGCTCAATCAAGTCAAAGCTATACACGGCAAGATATGAAATCGGTTGCAGAAATTTAAAAATACACGCAAATATCAATCGAAGTTCGATTTATGTTTTATCATTCGAATTTCATCATGATTCATTTACATTATTCCATCATGATTCATTTACATTAATCTATAGATCAAGCGCCAAGCGACGCCAGTAATACCAATATCTTATCTACATATAGCGCCAGAGTTAATGTAATGCATGACTCAGTTACGAGGGCCTACGTACCTTGATCTTTACGCATCCTGGCGTGCGTCTGCTGGTGATGGTGCGCAGCGCTAGCATTGGTCCAGCCAGGGGCCGGCAAGCCTGTAAAACACAATCGTCACTATACATATAATGAACATTAAGGATCTTCATTTATCGAGTTAGCTAAACTGAAGAGAACACTACGTACAACATCTCGAAATGAGGCACTCATCAGTTAGTTAGTTTTTTAGTTTAGTGGCCAAATGTTTACTAGCGCTTCAGCTATTGAGACAATCACCAGGAAACACTGAATATCATAAGCGTAAACCATATAAAAGTCGTCACTCAAATTTACTCAAAACGAGCTCGTACAAGTCTTGGAGCGTGAGACATTACCAGGCGTTTTATTCTAAAATAAATAGCAAAATTGAGGTTATTCAATCAAATAATTGTAAACCAGCAGCACATTTTAGAAAAAAGTACATGCAAGGCAGAACGAGTTCGTCGTTTTTTGTGCCTATTAAGATGCGAATTAACTTATGTACATTTTTATTCAGTGCTTGTATTATTCATACGATATGTAAGGGTGAAAGCTGTTAAATAACTTAAGGCAAGTTTATTTAACAATCAGTATATTTGAATAAAAAATTTGTTCAAGTGCCATAGTGAAATTCAAAACCTAGATGCAACGAGGGAGCTGGGAATGATACCAGCTAGCTCTCAAATTGGTAGCTAAGTAATACAAATTTTATATTTATTTAAAAAACAATAATTTTCAGTGAACAAACACCTGAAAACGATAAACAGAATTTGATCGAGTTACGTAAGTAACAGAAATCCTGCAGATCATTTTTGAATCACATACCTACGAACAACATTTTTCACAATTTCCGGTCCGTAATGTTCAACACCTCAAAGTCCCTAATAAAAGCGTTAGAATGAAAACGCTGGTTGGATAGAAGCATAAAATAAAAAACAAAATCTCACCGCTGTAACGCGCGACGTCGAAATTCCGCCGATACATCGTTCGTAGGAAATGCACGAAGCGAAAGAAGCTCATTCCACTTATAATATTATTTAAATCTAGTTATACCAGCAGATTCTGATCACCAAAACACTTCTCAGGCCCCATTATGATCTCAACATAACGTGTGTCTGCACTAAACTGCAAGGCAAGAAGATTTTAAAAGCCCCAAACTTCTAATCAAAAATCAATAGTAAGATAACGCGAGCGAACTGATAAGGATCGAAAATGCTGACCGATAAACTTACAATGATTCAAGTAGCCTAAGCTTTTCCTAAGAAATCTGAAGCACATGAAAGGCACAAAATTTATCAGTTATGATTTTTATTATCTTCCGGCAGAGTTGAATACTGTTTATGATTGATATCCATATCCAGAAAAATTTCTAATCAATAGAGGAAACGAGTTTTACAGCAAACGAGATTTAAATGATGGAATCGAAAATATTTTAAAAAGTCTATGATATAAATTCTCTCCCAAGAGTCCGATCTCTTTGAATCACAGAGAACTATCAAACGATGCGCAGAGCTATTGAGGTTAAAAGTGGGTTGTCAAGTTTCAGACAATGCAAGAGAAATCAATATCAATAACTTATGGAAGTTGCTGGTGCAATTAAACATGATATAGAGGCCTGTGCAGCTGAGACTCACCTCGACAACAGCTGGGTCGTCTTAAAGTTAGAGAACTTAAATAGCTGCGATAGGCCGCTAAGTCTGCAATAGATTAAAAATTCACTAGTAATTTCAAACTAGCAACTTCAAGTAATGGATATTGTAAGACTTACGCTGGTATGGCGTACATACAACGAGACATACTCGTATAAAAAAGGCTACACGCAATGTTACGCGTGCCTTGTAAGACAAGCTTTTACAAAAAGGTTTAGGTGAAAGAAACTAAAGTATAGAATTCTCCCGATAGAACAAAGACTTAAATTAAGAAAGCCATACCAGTGAAAAGCCGAAAAAAAATTAAATAGATACATTAAATTATACACACCAAAAAATGAATAACAAAAATATTGAATCCGTTTTAAAATCAAGAAGCTCAGGGATGAATGATACGAAGACCGATCAAGCAAAGAAGATCAAGAACATATTTAAAATCAATTTAAAAATAAACCAGCAGGCAAACATGTGAAAAATTATTTCTTTAATATTTTTAAATGCCAGCGTTATTCAATAGAGAAAATCATGCAAAAAAGCGTTCGTTGCCTGGAAGCTGTTTCATCTTGAACTAATGGTATATAAATACATGGATGTAACATATACACGAAAAACGTAGTACATCAACAATAATAATATGGAACTAGCAAAATGAGGATGAGGGGCAAACACGGTAAATGCCTTCATTAAAACGATAGACCCACACCCACGACACGCCATATAATATCAAAGTTATAGCACAGCCTGTACAAAATGAAGCTAGGAAATATTTTACAGGCGTCTATGCTAACAAACTCAACAAATATCCATAAGAACGAATTTGCCTCTTTTCTATCACAAAGAAATTGCGCAACCAGCAAGCCAAACAAAATAACTTCTGAGTTTAGCTCAAATACGAAACTTCGTGAATGCAGAAGCAAACCAACATTCGTCTAACAATGCTCGTCAGGATATCAAAAAGCAAATTAAGTTGTAAGGATCAGGGACCACAATAAACCAATTCGCCAAGAAATTTATGGTGTAGGTACTATTAATATTTGTATTCATTTAGTGAAATACATAAATATCTAGGCACGGATGCAGCCCTGGTACCGGATATTCGAATATATGCAGCCGAATGTTCGAATATGCAAAGCCCTGGTACAGAAATATTCATACCAAGTATCCCAGTGATTAAAATAAGTCAAATAGCATGACAGAAGTAGCAGTAAGTTGAGACACGATACACGGACGCTGCCGACAGCTCAGGTCTCATGACTCGAGGGCACGGTTAGCGACTTTGGCAGCGGGTCAAGACAAATCCCACCTTGTCCCGAATTGGAGCGAATCACGTCGACCCCATGTTGCTGAGAAGTGTATGGGGGTCTGCGTACCCCTCCTGCCATCACCACACCCATAGGGGGGCACGTCCCCATTGGGGTAATATTTCCTCCCATGGCTGCCCCTGAGGGGTCAGGATGATACCGAGGGTTGACACCACTCGGGCCGTTGTTGGATCCCGCAACGCCTCCCGACAACTGGACAAATCCCGCACAGTCTCCCTTGCCTGTAGCGGAGGGAGGGGGAGGGATGGTCAGAGCAGGACAGGGAGCAGGACAGCATCACAGACGTGCACCACTACCATCTCTTAGACACGTGGCCTACACTCCCCTTGCCGCGTTACAGGACAGGGAGAGAAGGACAGCATCACAGACGTGCACCACTACCATCTCTATCCCCCTGCCGCGTTACAGGACAGGGAGAAGGACAGCATCACAGACGTGCACCACTACCATCTCTAGACACGTGACCTGCACTCCCCCTGCCGCGCTGTGCACTCTCAATCTATACGCGCAAGTGAAATGCAACAATAATATCGCTTGTATAACATAGAAAGGAAAGTAGCAGAAGCTCACTCAAATAAAGCCGATACTACATCATCAAAAGAAAACAACAAACCCGAAAACCTGCAACTCAAGTCATAACCCACAACGCCAACATGTGGAAATGCAGCCGAAACTGAACAAAACAGCCACAAAATTCAGTGTAAACACAATGCTGCTGAGTGAGGGCTGAAACAAACCATACTTCTCAACAAAATATTAGCTCATAATTGGCTGGTTTAGTGTTAGTGCAGTTTGACTATACACTAGTTAGTGCAGTTTGAATCTATTTCTCATAATACCTTAATGAATAAACCTTGTGATAGAAACCAACAAATAAATCTATTTCAACATTACTGAACATCTCAAATTCAGTCCAGGCACAAATTTCTCCATTAATGTTCCTAATTAACAAAATTTAATTCCGGGAGGTATTTTTAGCAAGGAATTATGCAAACACAAATACAATGATTCCTGGATAGAATTGTTGGCAAGACCTATTACAATGCTGGTAAGGTGATGAAAGCTCAATGACTTAGCTTCAATTGAGTTCATATAGAAATTGAACTAAAATGCCAAGTTTACAGTGCCTTGTTTAATATTACATCAACTACTAATAACAGCAATATGAAGCAGCATTCCAACACTTGTTAATACATTTAATGCATAAAGGAACACAAAAATGTGCAAAATCTGAGTATTTGATGTTGAGCATGATGAGGCATTATGATTCATTGGTGGCCATTTATAACCAACTTCTAAATCTAGAAGCAAATAGATGAAAGGCATGACTCAATTATTGATTTCATGCCGATCAGATCAGTTACGAAATAAAAAAAATTTGACACAAATGTAACGTTACTGATATCAAACAGCTTTGATTGAAGCTTATTGGCACATAAATTACCAGATCATGAAAAATATGTTTAGAAATGTGATTAAAAGAGTGATATGACTTCTACACCCTGAGCAATTTATTACATAGATAATACTGATTACATAAACAAACAAGGTCAAAACCAAACAATGTCAATATGGACCTTTCAAGAAACAATATAAATGAAGATTCTATCAAATGTGACAACCAGAAGTCCCTATTTGTTGGCTAACCAAATAAGCTGAATTACTTGACTTCAGAACTATATCAACAACCTTCACCAGCAGAACTCTGGCTAAATACAAGGTTTATCACTAATAAAAAATTATCTGAGTGCCATTTCAAAAGAATTGAACAAGATGCATTTAAATCAAGCATTGGGAAGTGGGAACAATGCTTTTGAGGGATAATTCCTAATCATGACATGACCAATGATATTATTGTATGGGACAGATGGGAAAAGTTATGACTAAGCGTGCTAACATCAAACACAAATATATCATAAATTATAGAACACATGCAAAATGTAGATAGGTAGGCAATGTCCTCAAGGAAAGAGTGCAATATTGATAATTATGGATAACAAGAAAATGAAGAAAACCTTACAAAATTAATAGGTATTGGTCATAACAAAGGAATAAAAGAAACAATATATACAACATTGATAAGCATAGATCACAACAGGGTAGTAGAAGAACCTAATCAACATTAATAATAAGTATTGATCACAACAAGGAAATGAAATGAACTGTGCAACATTTATGATAAGTATACAAGGATATACGAGATAATGAGAAACATTGATAAGTAGATGTATATACATATTGATAAGAACAAGGAAATAAGTGCTTGCTTACCTCTGATGGGGTCAAAAGCAGGCAGAGGACCGCCAGGGGGCTGCGTTGGAGGGGGGCAACAGCAAGCTTGCCCCATCCTCCTGCCTTGACAACAGCAACAACACGACGCTGCTAAATGAACCTTCCTCGTCACCACAGATCTGCCCTCTCTTAGCTCACTAGGATGCTTGCATCCTCTTACTTTCACAACAGCAACAGCACACTGCTGAAAATCCTTCTGTGTCACCTTCTCAATGCACAGATCTACCCTCACTAGGATGCTTGCACTTTTACAGTTCTTGGAAACATTATGAGGTCATTTAAAAATCTGATCACATATGATCAGCATCAAATGAAAAATCACAGTTTTCCATTGCAATTATCAAAATCAAACCCACGTCATTATTCTCTCTGAAAAAAAAAAACTGTAAACAAGTATTAATAATGCCCTGATATGTAATAAAAGAATTTTTCTATAATAATAATTTATTAGAGCAACAAATTGCAAAATTACAAATCAGCTGAAATTATGGGATTCCGTGCAATAATATTTCATTAAAGTGAAGCCATTTTCCTATCTATGGAAACTCCTCTTTGGAGAGCCAAAACTGCTCCATCCTTCCTTAATTTAGCTAATATTTGTGGATCAAACATGAGACACAACTGAATTGATATTCAATCTATGAACTGAAAGTTCCAGAATTCCACACTGGTTTTCAGGTGGCCAAACTGGTAAATGGGACAGATGCCACAATTAGATGAACCAAAATAACCCATAATCAAATCTTAAATTTAAAAATTTTGACTCAAACCACTCATAAATGGGACAAAAATGTCCGTACTCGTGGTCAATGTCACCCGTTTCCATAACCCTAAACTAATTTCTTTGCTAAAATTTAGAAAGATTTCACATTTTCCCCTGCAATTCTTTAAAATCACTTATGAAACTGTGATTTTTTACCTACAAGTTTAGGAAATTTCTGCCAGGTATTCTAGATTAGATCCAATCTGGAATTTTGAGCAGAATTCCTTGGGTAAATGAAAGAAATAAATAAATGAAAGAAAATTGAAGGCAAAAACTAAATTTACAGACAACTTGCATTAAAAAAAAAAGTAAAATGTGTCATTTTTATTATTTTTTTATGAAATTTGGCAAAAGCCATAAAAACAAGGAAATTTACTGCAAGCATGAGTATTCTTGTCTTGTTCACAGGTGGCTTCTGCCTGATTTTCCAGAATGCCAGCTTTGAACATGGTTTGCATAGAATTAACCATTATCTGATTACCACAATAACGAACCAATGCATGGAATATGTCTACTGTCTGAGCAGTGACCAGAGCTTTCCTAACTTTTTTAGAGCTTTATGATTCCTGCTTCAAGATTTACCTCCTATCTGATTAGATAGAAACGTATATAGGATTTACCTCTTCTACTTGAAAAAGTAGACAACCACAAGTAGGATTGGAATTTTCCTGCTTAAGAGTGACATCTTGCATCTCCAAAGCAATAAATTTTTATACATTGGAAATCTAATGGCCTAATCAAGCACATTTGTTAACAAATATATAGGCTATAAGGTAATTCATCCAGCGGCAATCTTGCAACTCTGAAAATGGCTTAAACTGTGGGAAATAACTATTCACGGCTACCTAAAAAGATAGATGAATTCCATGCAAGTCCACAAAATTCTAAATATGTTGAAAAAATGTCACTTTGGAAGTTTGGAGCCAAATCATCCATCCAAAATCAAAGTGTCTTAGATTACAGTAATAAATGGGACAATTCCAATCTTGGTCCAAACTTAACATTGAATAATATGCATTTAAAAATTACTTTTTAAAGACAACACTTCCAGAGAATCCAGTGTCTCCAATCTTAAAGATGTACCATGAATTTCTCATTTAATTTTTGAATATAAGATATGGAATTCACGGCTCGGTGAAATAGAATCACGGCTCGTAGAAATGGAATCACGGCTGGCAAATCCATAAAACCACGGCTCGAAAAATTCAGTCGCGGCTCGCCAAGTAGATATATTCCATACTATACCAGAGGAGTGAATTTAATAAGTAACAATTATAATATACAGTAGGTATACACATATAATATCCATTATGGTCACTCTACAAAAATTGTTCACCAAAAAGCATTTAGCCTAATGAAAGTTTGACTATGTGTGATGGTGTGAGTGCAATAAGCATGTAGCCTATGTAGCTAGGTCAGCAAGGGAGAATTTTTTCAACATTCAAATTTATTTTAATTTCAAAATTCAATGCAAAAGCAGCTCATATGCAAATAGAGGGAACAAATTGATGCTCTGGCTTAGTGATTTGTACCTAAACAACGAATGCACAACACGCGTCTTCAACTTTCCAGTGTTGCTATTCAATCATTTATACTGGCTGAATCGGCTCAAGCATTGGCATTGTTACTACTTTCTGTCGTACGGTTAAGTTCATTTGCAGCACAATATGCAACACTTTTCAAACAATAATGAGGTAATGAATCTTCAAAGAAAGATTCATTCACGTTTTAGGATCTTTACACTAAATTTACCACCACACCCAGCGGTCACCACCACCGTTAGTTACCCTCACAACGGCTTTCACTTGCAAAATACCAAGTTCAAAAGTTCTTACTAAATAACTATTACTTAGAATTTGCCTCATAACCGGATAATAAAAACGCTTCATAGCAATGTTTGCTTGGAAACATTATTAATAGGCATTTCAAGATGGTCATCTAGCGGAGCCATCCGACATAAACACCCTACCCAAACGGAAGGCAAAGCCATACTGCCACAAACCGCCAGATAAAATTAGGAGAATTAAAGCATCTTGCACCTTCTCAAGCAAGCAAACTAGCAATTTTATTCGCTAATGATGCCATATTGAAGTTGCATGTTCCATCAGATCCAGTGACATAACACTTTTTTTCAATTGCATGAGATAAATAAATGAAGCAATGTCTTAGATGAGAACGCTCACGCTAATAACCTTATGAAAATAATGGAACAAAAAAGCCAACAATTTTCGTCATCTGTATATTCCGGTACTTTATCTCAATCACATCGTCTGACAATTGAAGTTCATCTCGATACATAGAGGCCTAGTGAGATGAGAACGGTACTCAGACGAAGCACTTCGATCCAGCCCAAGATGCTTTCAGCGCATCTGCGTTCACGATGAATTCATGTTATCGGTGATTTTACTTTAGAAATGGCACATATCATGAACGAGAAGTCAGGTTATTGAATAAGTTCATACCAAATATTTTTTAAACGATTTGAAAATTTTGTGTTAGTGATTGGCGAGTTCAAGACAATATCAATTACGTGTGGTAATTTTACTTGAACGCGGCGTCTGCAGCAGATCCTTTTCTGACCATCTCTTGTTACCCTGAAAATTAAAAGCATCCGCGAAAAATACAACAGCCGCTGGGAGTAATGAACGGCGAGTACTAGCAAACGAATATTCAATAAAAATATTGAACAGAAGAAACTAAAAATTTCAACGATGATTCCTCATAACGAAGAAACGCCATGTTAAATGAATTTCAAGAATTGAGGATCGCATAATGAGGTTCAAGGCGTTTAGAGTTTAGAGACGTCAACAAAAGACAGCAAATTCTACGAAAATAACAATAAATGCCGCCCGAAAATGGTAACATTCGTATCTAGTGCAGGTACAGTTTATCTATGCAGACCGACAAGAGTTACAGTCGTACCTAGTGCAGGTACAGTTTATCTATGCTGACCGACAAGGGTTACAGTCGTACCTAGTGCAGGTACAGTTTATCTATGCAGCCCGACAAGGGTTACAGTCGTACCTAGTGCTGGTACAGTTTATCTATGCAGCTCAAGGGTTACAATAGTGCAGGTACAGTTTATCTATGCAGCCCGACAAGGGTTACAGTCGTACCTAGCGTTGGTACAGTCACACGTATGCAGCACGACTAGGGCTAAATGAGAGGCAATGTGGCTCAGACTACGAATAAAATATAAGTACAATTCAAATTACATTCCAATACGTTCATATGAAACAACGTGATAATTGGCTCCGATCAAAAATAATAAATAATGAAATTCTAAATCGATGTACGAAATAACTAGGATTTAAATTACATGAATATAAATACCATCACACGAGTTGCAATGATTGTTATGATGCTATCAACGCGGTCCGAAGAAACTTGCAGTAGGCCGAATGTCATGCCCACTACGTAATATTTCAAAATAATAAAAAAATATGTATATATATATGAAAGAATAGTAACAATAAATGTGGTCCAGACGGCTACATTGGATTTATGTGTCCACGTCGGCCAGAAGGCTTATGAGCGATGCTTGTTTAAGGCCTCGTTGGACAATAAGGTCTACTAGGAGACGATCTCATGATAAGCATCGTTCTCAGGGCAACGCACCAGCCATAATTATTGCAGCCAATATTTCTTGTAATACAAAGGAGCATCTTGAAATATTTATTGGCCGCTCAAAGAGAATCGGAGTAACAACTCAAAAATGAAGTACACGATAGCTTGCAAGGGGCAATGGTGCTCATCGAAAAAATAGGATATACGTAACAAAATCATTCGACTGCTTAGATCGCAAATTCACAAAGAATTTAAAAGCTAAGAAAATTACTAGAAAATTTACCATTTCTTTATATAAGAAAACGTTTTGGAGTCCAGCTCCATCGTCAGTTCAAAATTCCACAAGACAAGCAGAATTAATTAGAAAATTAAAATTCACATTGAACATAAAAACTTAAATTGGTAATGAAAAATAAAACAAATAAATATAAGGCGAAGGACCTATCTATTTACAATTTCAAGGAGATAGGTGCAAAAGGCAGTATTTAAACAAGGGTTTAGTTTAAAATTATCCAGGGATTCTAAAAATTCGTTAGGTCAGGATCACCGGTCGTGGAAGCTAGAACTATAAACTCACTATCGGACACCGGGACATTGCACTGCTCGGCCTGGACTCGCACAGTTAAATGAGGAGGATGCGCAAGTAAAGTTCCCGTTCTAAAACTTCTGCCCTTATGCTCCGCCAGCCTAGTATAACAAGTGCGAGACGTCAAACCGACGTACGCTGATGCGCATTGCGCGCAACTGTTCTATGAACTATGGACGAACGCATAATTTTGGATTTTGAACAGACGACGTAGGATTTCGCTGACAATTGATTTCGAACTGACAGCGAACCATTGTTCACACTAAGAATATTGCGCTTAGTGCAAGCCGAGAACATCGTCAACGGCCCCCGATCTTGTATTTCTACTTATCATTTCGGCTCCAATTGCTCCCGTAATCTTTGCTTTCTTTCAAATCGATCATATGAAAGAACAATTCCGACCATTAGTTATTATTCTCGCGTTTCTCGAGGACTAAAGATTTTGGTGCAGTCACGGTAACTCCGCGG